TCTCTCTCTCTCTCTCTCTCTCTCTCTCTCTGTCTGTCTGTCTCTCTCTTCCATTCAGGATCCCTTTGTGTTAGTTACACTCTCAACCAAGCTCCTTCATACAGAAATTCTTTCCAGCCTCAGGCTTAAGAGTCCAGCTGCCAAAGGATGTGACTTCCTCAGGAGGCTGCTTCCACGGTTCTTGGTTCTTTGTATTCCTAGTAATACCTGAGAGTCCCTGGGGCTCTGAAGTGTTGACTGGGAGGCACTCAGCTCACTATAATGTGTTGAGATAGTTGATACTGGACTAAAGACCATAAGACCCAAGTTTAAGTTGCAGAGATCTAGTTGGTGGGTTTTAGTGGTGGGCCTGAGGCCTTTAAGAGCTGAGCCATCTCTCCAGCCCTAGTTGCTGGTTTCATAACTGCCAGTGTTGTTTCCTCATGTGTAAAATGGGAAAAATAAATTGGTGTATTTGACTGACTTGATTATCTTAAAAAAATTCTAAGATAATAGTTGTAAAAGACTTTCAAACTATAAAGAACTTTCCAAATACTTGTGTATCTCATAACATTTGCAGTACTTTTTGCTTTGTTTTACATTGATATTTTCAAAATACCTTTATGTAATTTGAGAGGCACATATAAAAAATGGAACAATCAAACGTAAAAGCAACCCATGTTCTCTCCTTGTGTATGTTGAAGAGAAATATTTATTTTTACCTAGGATAATTTTAGCTTCTGGTATGTCTTTGAATAATATCTATTTCTAATAGATTGGTTTCCTCTGCTAGGTGCCTCCTCAGAAGACTATGAGAAGTGCCACAGAAAAATGTAAGAACTAAAAATTTAAGATTGCAGTTTTGAAAAATCTCATATTCAAAGTTATAGAACAACTATAATTGTCTTTCAGATTTTCCATAGAAGGTGAACTTCATTCATTCAGTATTTGATGATCACTTACTATGTGCCAGAAATATTCTAGTTGCTGGAATATAGTAGATAATAAAATTGATTAAACACAAAATATATGCCCGCATTGAATCCACATTCCATTTGGAAGAAATGGACAATAAACAAAAAAGTCAATGTGTGCTGTATGTGTCGTATTCTGTGTTTGTGCTGATGGATCATGTAGAGACAGATAAAGCAAGATGGGCTATGGAGTGTTGAGGGAGGGTTGTACTATAATTCTGTGGTCAGAGTGTTGTCTCTGGAAAGGCAGCGTTTGAGCAGCTTATAAAGAAGGAGCAGGCTTGGGATGGGGAGTCAGTGGAAGGATGGCCTTGAGGCAAGAAGCCTGAGCCTCTTAAATCTCTTGAGAGTAGGATTAGCAAACTGTTGATGGACACAAGGGTGGGGACAGGTATATTTTTTATTTTTCAAAATTTATTTGGTTAAAGTTGAATTAGTATTTCTAAGCTTCATCTTGTAGAAATTTTTCAGCCAAGCTTTTATTTATTCGCATTGGCTGCAGTAAACAACTTGAGGTACTCACCTTAATGTACTGATTGTGACCATTTCAACCTTGTTCTTTCCTTCTTTGGTTTTCTTTTAGTCTAGCTTTCTACAGTTCTGTAGAATTGATATTCTAGTTTAGTCTTTGCATAGTTGCTAAAATGATTTCTCCAATTCCCTCATAAAGCAAGAGGAGTGAAAAGCACTTTTTCTTTGTTCTAAATTTATATTCAATGAAACAGCATTATAGGTAGCATATTCAGTACCTGTAGATTACAAATGATATCAGTTGCTAAATTGACTTTCCTACATTCTTGCTAATCTGAAAGGAAAAAAAAAACTTGTTCATTGTGAATTGCCAAAAAGATAGCAAAGCTGAGGCTGGGTGTGATAGCATATGCCTTTAATTCCAGCACTCCAAAGGCAGAGGCAGGAGTTCTCTGTGAGTTCAAGACCAGCCTGGTCTACATAGAGAGTAGCCCAGCTGGTGCTATATAGTGAGACCTTGTCTCGACAAACATACGTGTGTGTGTGTGTGTGTGTGTGTGTGTGTGTGTGTGTGTGCTGGATTTAAACCCAGGTTTGTGTGACTCTAACCATTTGTGGTATTTAGTATTGCATTATGAGTTTCCCTAGAATCTGTATGTTTAATCTTTTAGTTTTGTAAAACTTTAAGAACTGATTGACATCTGTTGGCCTCTGGGAACAAATTACAAGGCATTATTTATATAATTGTTTTTAAAAATAACTTACTTAAAACTCTGGTTTAGAAGGCATTGTTGTTGTTGTGTTTATTATTATTACTTAAATGAGGCTAATAACTTGATTTTGAGGCTCTTCCCAAAAGAGAGATAGACTTGCCATGGGAAAGATGGGGAAGACTGAGGAGAAACATTATTGGAGGAAGCGTTTTCTTAGGATAGTGTGTACTGCATGGAGCAGGTGTTTGTGACAAGACAGAATCTAAGTTTAAGAAGGAAAGCACAGTCTGAATTGTAAATGACCTTGAAGATGGGATTTTTTTTTATCCCAAATGTGTTGAGAGCCTCTGAAAGATTTTCAGCAGGATTGAAGCAGATTATGAACATTTTAAAACAAGTTAATCCCGCAAGAATGTGAAAGAACTCTTAAAAAATTCATACAAGTTTAAAAACCAAGGTAGAAAACATTTTTAAGAAAATGAAAAGGCAATCCACAGAATGGGGAAAAATACATTTTCAGATCATAGGAACCCAAGAGTTGTGTATGTGGTGGAGAAAGAAAAGCAGAGAACTGGCCAGGGTTGCTTTACGCATGGCAAGGTCTGAGTCTGGGGTCAGAGCTGGGTAAAGATTTAAGTTGGACAGTAAGAGCTTGGAGTTGTACTAATACACTGGACTTCTATTACCTAAAAACAGCCATTTATTAGAGAATACATGAGCATTAGTTTAAAAAAAACTACCTGAAGTGCTCATTCAAAAGCAAGAAAATTCTATTTGGAAGTATGAATTTAAAGGGAAATATGAAAGAAAAAATGTTTTCTGCAGTAATTACTGAGTTCAGCTGTTCAATTAACCAAAAATTTAGAAAATTATTTTCTTGCATTTGGCTTTTGACTCTTTTGTCCTGCTCAGATCTGTCTTGATGGTCAGTGAACCTCTGATCCTTTCATGTTTTCTGTACTAGCTCACCCTCTCCTGCAGCTTTACAAAGACGAAGGCATCTCTTTCTGAAAATACGAAAGAGAAAAGGCTGTTCCCTTCCAAAAAATAATCTTATCAGTCATACTTGGAATCCTTAGCTCAGGACCCTGGGTAACTGGCATAATGAGATAAGGCTCAAGGCAGGTTAAGTAGTTTTCTCAGAGCCACTCAAGTATGAGTAACAAGGCTGAGTTTAAACTCAGATCTGTGTGATTCTAAACATTACACTCTGCCTTCCCTCTTCTCATGGAGTCTCATACCCATAAATATATTTCCTTTTGTTGTGTTATTTGTTACTATAAATATGGTGCATTTTTCTGACAGTTGTATTTTTCCTACAGAATAATTAATTGCACATATTTAGGTATAATTTGAGGATTATTGAAAATTACTGAAAGATAAGAAAATACCACTAATTTGTTCTTATTACAGAGTGCTTACATTAGAGGACCAAAAGGTTTCTCCAAAACCAAAGTATACTTCAACTTTAGCATCAGGTAATAATGACACTAATTATTTTTATGATTATGAATAGGAGGTAACAGAACTATTTATTTTGGTTGCAATATACATGTATTAACAAAATCAGTATCCTAGGAAACAGCTTAACTTGATTATATTTAAGAAATAAAGATTAAAAAAAGAAATATTTGTGGGCTTATATAGTAGGTCTTAATTATCCATACAGCACCCATCATTAATTCATTTAATAAAAATTTACAGGTGCATACTCTACTAGGCAGTGTTATATACCCCAGAAGGAAATGACACATTTTCCATTCCCTTGTAAGGTTTGATAGTAGGAAGGACAACTGGGGTTATAAAAATGGTATGATCAACAAAATGTCTTGCATCATTGGCACTCTATTATTTAGTTTCTTGTTAGAGTAAATTTAGTAAGGCATGCACATCCTTATTAACTTCTACTATATATCAGGTTTCTATTTTCCTTAGTTCTTACAGCAAGTTTTATGACACCTCTTTGGAAGCAAACTTGAAGAACTGCTCTTTCATCAAAGAATAGATTAATTCAAATGGTTATGTGAACTAAAAATATAAACTTAATTGTAAAATATTCATAAAAAGTTGCGTTTAATGAACATTTATTAAATGCTAGGTATTATAAAGGAAGCTGTGAGTATAAAATTGATTGAGACCATTTCTGTTCTGAACAAAAGGATTCCAGTGATCACAAACTAAAGTTGAGGGTTGGGGATTTAGCTCAGTGGTAGAGTGCTTGCTAGGCAAGTGCAAGGCCCTGGGTTTGGTCCTCAGTTTGGGGTAGGGGGGACACCTAAAGTTGCAAAGGTGCAGCTCCATAGAAAGAGCAATGCCTTCCAGTCTAGAGGTGGACATCAGGAGACCACTGGATAGATCACAGACTGTTACTCCCAAAGGGAGCTTCATGAATAATGTGAGAAACAAGACCCTCACCCTGCAATAACGCATTCAAGAGACTAGTGAGAGTGAGACGGTCTTCAATACTTGATTCTGCGTAAAAGGACACCAGTCTACAGAAAAGGCAAAAACGGCAGGTGTACAAATATGGTGTGAGACAATGATTTCTAAAGTCTCTGGTGGCAAGAAATCCCTGTCCTCTTTTTCCTATTGGCTGGTACAAAAGAGCTTACAATATTCACACTTTTAGCACAGCCCCCTCACTTTGGTTCAGGCCTTATCTAATGAATATTTATGCTTTTGCATCTTTTTTTAAGACAGGGTCTCATGTAGCTCAGGCTGGCCTTGGTGACCTTCAGTTACTAATCCTTCTGTCTACACCTCCTGAGTGGTAGGATTATAGGCATGTGCTACCATACCTAGTTTGTGTGGTGCTAGATATGGAAGGTAAGGTTTTGTGCTTGCTATGAGCTAAATACCTAGCCTTGCTTTGTATTATTTTATGTATTGATTCACCTAAAATTTAAAATTAAGTAAAACACATCCTACTCTTAGAGGTATTTTTATATAATCCTTAACTCATCAAGCCCAACTGTGTTGCATTTCTATGTACCAGGCTTTCTACAGTATTAAAAAAACCAAGAATTGGGCGTGGTGACACATGCCTTTAATCCTAGCACTTGGGAGGTGATAGGTAAAGTAGGCGATGGATGAATCCAGTTTATCAAGAGAAAGCACCAGGGACTCCAGTGGAATAGAGTTTATTAGCAAAGGAACACCTGGGACAGATTCCCTTCCAGGTAGGGAAAATGTCTGCCTGGGTCGTGAGCTGGGGTCTTTTATAGGGGGAAGCTTCTTGGGGGTGCAGGAGAGTGGGACTGTTAAAACCTGCCCTCTTTAGAGATCAAAGGGGAAGCCTGCTGTGTTGGCCAAACAGTGGAGAAAAGTCTGCTTCTCTTGACTTCAAAGATTGGGGTGCTTATTAACTTGGTTTCCTTTTCTCAGGGGCTTGTGAGGTCCCTGAGGCTCTGTTGGTGAGGGGGCGGGGCTATCTGAACCTTAACAGGAGGCAGAAGCAGATGGATCTCTATGAGTTCAAGGCCAGCCTGGTCTACATAGCAAGTTCCAGGCCAGCTGGGGTTACAGGGAGGCCCTGTCTCAAAGATACAAAAAAAAAAAAGTGAGATTAAGCATGCTAGTTTAAAATATATTTATTTATTACTGAGTGTGAGTGCACACGGGTGGGACACAGTGTAGTATGGTGATCAGAGGACAAGTTTGTTAGTTTGTTATCTCCTTCCACTTCTATATGGGTTCTGAGGCTCAAACTCAAGGTACCAGGCTTGCTTGGCAAGTGCCTTTACCCACTGAGCCATCTCACCAGCCCTTAGGGATGCTGTTTTAACCATAGTAATTAACACAGGCATTTATGCAAAGCCTGAATAAAATAAGGGGATGGGCCACTTTGCAACTTCAGAACAGAGCATTCTAAGTAAAGGAAACAAGTAAAAAAGCCATGATAAGAATATGCTTGGCATGTTTAAGGAAGAAGATATTATTGTGGCTGGAGCTGAGTGGTTGAAACTCTGTCTTGTGTGCCATAATGAAGACTAGAGGTTTCATTGTAAATGGGCTGAGAAATACGCCTTAAAGCATGTTTGAAAAGAGAAATGAAATGTTCGTGTACATATTTTCATTCTTGAGCTTTTTTATTTTCAATTTTATTTAGCTGCCCCATGAAACTGATAGCTAACACATTGTACAACACTGTGATTCTGGGGTATTTATATGAATTTTAATAAGAGAAAATAATCTGAATACCTGGGAAACCGCTGCTTCAGCTATGTACTGAAGCTATACTTCTGGGGAGAAGACTACGGGCTGAAGGAGCTCTGAGTTTCCAAGAGCCTTGGGTTCTGTGCATCTGTGCTCTTAAGTTTCTAAGTAGTGTTATATGTACTAAGTTCTAAAGATTAGATATGGTTTAAAGTTCTTTCCCTGTGGTAAATAGAGTAAAGGGATAAAAGTGGGAGTAGGAGGCTGTGAAACTATTGTTGTGTCAGATAATTGTGTTTTATAGCAAGTGGTGGCAGAGGTCTGATAGGAATCTATTTTAAAATCACATGTGCCAGAATTTTCTGATTAAGCTGGATATTAGGTAAGAGTAAAACAGAAGTCTAGAATCAGTATTGAATTCTTGGTCTGAACAACTGGGAGAACACTGGTATCAGTTATTGAGATAGGAGCACTGTAGGATAGAATAAGTTAGGAAAATGATTAAGTTAGGAAATTGATTTGGACATTAAACTTAATCTGTTAGTTCACACATACATGTAACATGTATATATTGTATAATTTCACATAGAGGAAGTTTAAGAACAGACAAGGCTTCTGGATGTTTGAAATTCAGAATAGAGGTTATCTTTGGAAAGGGGGAATCAAGAGGGAAAGAATACATGGGAAACTTTTAGGGTGCTGGAAACATTTTCTGTCTTGACCATAGTAGTTATACTGATGAATACAGATTGGCATAACACTATATAGTTATTTGCTGTATAAAATAATTAAACCAGTAGAGGTACATTACCCTTCAAGTGGAGATATCATGAGGGCAGTTTGTGACACATGAGTCTGGAGCTCAGAACAGAGGCTGTTTTTATATCTACATATACATACATATGCATCTATGGAGTCAGAATGTAGGTGCTTTGAGGGCATAGAGCTAGATGAACTCATATAGAAAGTAAAATGAAGGGAAACTTCTAAAAATAATGTAAATGCAACATTCCAGCATGTAGAAGTAGGGAAAGAGGGAAATATCCATCAGAGGAAAAGAAGGCTTAGAGTGGCTAGTGTGTTTGCAGGAACCGTGTCTCCGAAGCTATGAGAGAACAGTCGGGGGGAGTGAACCCATCAGTGACTGAAGTTATCAGAGACTGACTGAAATGAAATCTGTGAATGAAGAATTGTCACAACACAGATCTAACCTGGTCCTAATCTTTGTTAGAAATTACAGTTTACAAACCAGTAGTCTGGGAGTCATCCTCAGTGCTCCCCTTTGTGCTACTGTTGTATGTGATCTATCAGAGAATATGGATAATAGTTTCTATTCCTACAGAACTCTCAAATCTATCTATGCTTTCTTCCACCTTGGGAGATGAATATGACAGAGTGATCCATTAGGCTCTATGGCTTCCAGATCTAGCAGATAAAGACATTGAATTTGAATTCAGATAAATGGCAAATAATGTTTTAATAGAAGTATGTCTCAGATATTGCACATGCTTATATTATTGCGTTGGATATATTTATGATTATGATTACAATGGATGCTTATGATTATCTGAAATTCAAACTTAAGAAGCCTGTATTTATCTGGAAACTATGTCAGCCTCTGAAATGAGGCTGAAGACTATGTAAGCAATCATGGATCATCAAAAGAAGGACTTTGTATGCCAAAGTAAAGAGTTTGAGTTTAAATTTGAGGGCAGTGGAAAATCTGAAAAAAAGGTCTTAGGCAGATGGCACCAGATATTTAAGGTGAATAAAGAGGACAGTGACAGCAGAGAGATGAATTGAAAACTATTAGAATAGCAGAAAGGCAAATCTTTTGGTGCCGTAAATCAAGATAGTGATATAAATTTTTTTTTAAAATTGGATGTGCAAATTAAATCCAGACGTTAAGTAAAACTTGCACTCTAAGAATACTGTTGCTTTAAGCAGACTGAGTCTGGAGACTATGGAACAGGGAACTCTAAAGAGGAGCATAAACAGGGCCAGAGAGAGGACATGTCCAGCACTTTGTGATAAGATCCAGTATGATAGAATGGGAAGATTTCTGCTGGTATTAGTGAGAACTGACATGGAATTGCTTTAACTTCGAAAGGACATCGAAGAAAAAGCAATAACGATATAAAATGAGTAAACAGCTATTTGAATGCATGTAACTGTGAATAAGAGGTGTTGCAGAAGGAGAATATGGAGCACAGGGAAGGTGTGATTACATAAGCAAGGCCCCAGTTTGCTTTAAATGCTGGTAGAGCCAGGTATGGTGGCAGGCACTTGCAGTCCTTGCTACTCAGGAGGAAGGAGCATGTCTTAAGCCTGGGGTTAAGGCCAATCTGGACAACATAGCAAAACCTCATCTCATTCATAACTAAGTAAATGCTGATGAAGTTACAGAAAGGGAGAGCCTGCAAATACAGGAGAGTAGAAGTAGTAGGATAATTAATAAAAGAATTTTAGTCACAAGCCTGGCATGGTGGTATGCACCTTTAGTCCCAGCATTCAGAAGGCAAAGGCAGGCTGATCTCTGTGAGTTCGAGGCCATCCTGGTCTACATAATGAGTTTCAGGCCAGCTGGGGTACAGGGAGACCCTGTCTCAAAAAGACTGAAAAAAAAAGGGAATTTTAGTCACATTGAAAACAAAATTTAGTCACATAATTGAAAACAAAGCCATATATTTTACTTCTGTGAAACCTGGATCTCTGAGGTAGATTTTTCTAAAAGGCTATTTTCTTCTCTCTGAGACAAGTTAGATTGTTCAACATACATTAATTTTTTTTCCTCCTTTTACAGAGGTATAGTCATTAAAATGAGAGGTTTGATTTTGCTTTGAATTTTAAATCTGTCCTCTGTACTCACAGTTAATGACACATTAAATAGAGTATTAAACTTTGTTTTCATTTGTAGATAACTCAGCTTGTGAGGTTGTACTTACTGAGAAAACTGGCCCTCCAACCACCAAAAAAACAAAGAAAAAAGCAAGTATTGAAGCAGGATAACTATATAAACAATGATCTCACCAATAAAGGACATGCTTTTAAGTAACATTTCTGTAGAAATTATTTTCTGTCTTTTTTGGCAATAGCCAGAAGCATTTTTGGAACAGCAATTATTCAATTTTGTGAAAAAACCTGTACAGCCTACATGAATACATATTCCATATAAGCTTGATAAAACAGAGTTAAATGTATTTTTTTCTGACACTCTATTCAACGACTAGATATTCATTAATCTCTAGGGTAAAAATAAGATTACAGTAGGTTAGACTTGAAATCTGAAGATTTCTGGTGAAGAATTTGGACTTTGAATGGCTTTTCATTAATTACATCTAAGGATACTTGAAGATGGAAATGTTGAAAAGGCCATTGGCTATAAATACACAGCTCAGGAAAACATAAAAGAGATCTGTGCAATTACAGTTACTTGTAAAGTCACAGAAATCACTTGGGGAAAAGTGTCTATAGAATATGGAACAGAGGTGCTGGAGAGATGGCTCAGTAGTTGAGAGTACTGACTATTCTTGCAGAAGACCCAGGTTGAATCTAGCACCCACATAATGGCTAACAATCTTCTGTAACTTCAGTTCCAGGGGATCCAATATCCTCTTCTGTCCTCCACAGACACTGCAGTGCCCTGCACAACATGGTGGTGCACTTACACACATGCAGACATAACACCTATGCACATAAAATAAAAATAAATTTAAAAAATTATTTTAGCCAGGCATGGTGTTGCACACCTTTAATCCCAGCACTTGGGAGGCAGAGACAGGTGGATCTCTGTGAGTTCAAGGCCAACCTGGTCTACATAGTGAGTTCCAGGTCAGGCCAGCTAGGGCTACAGGGAGACCCTGTTTCAAAAAAGACCAAAAAAATATTTTTTAAAGGACATGGAAGAGAAAGGGATCCAGGACCGATCCTTGAAAACTCTATAGTCTTGTAGAAAAGATTTCTTGGCAGGAAGTATTATACGGGCTGCTGAGGGGGACACATCATCAGTAGTCTTACCCAGCTGTGCACCCCACAAGGTACAGTAACCACTGACCTAGTAAGGTATGCCCATTGGTATAATAGTAGCATGAATGTTATAGGGGTGTGCTGGATAGCTTCAGTTGTCAACTTGACACACCTGGGAAGATGGAACTTCAATTGGGGGAATTTCCTCTATCAGACAAGCATGTAGCCATGTCTGTGGGGCATTTTCTTGATTGTTGAGTGATGAGGGAGGGCACAGCCCACTGTGAGTGATGTCACTCCTGGGCAGATGATCCTGGGTTGTATAGGAAAGCAAACTGAGAAAAAGTCAGAGGAGCAAGTCAATTCCTGCCTCCAGGTTCCTGCTTGAGCTCCTACCCTGGCTTCCCTCCATGAAGGACTGTAAGCTGAAATAAACCGTTTCCTCCCAAATTGAGCTTGGTCAGTGTTTGACCACAGCAATAGAGAGCTAACTAGGAGAGGGAGTAACTGCTTTCTGATTGGATTTAAATCTCACTCTGTGGGATGGATTTCATGCCTAGAACTGTAAACATGACAAAGAGTCCATAGCTTTGAAGGTTATACACCCTAGGGGAGAACATACTATTATCATTTTATTTTGCTAAATGAACATAATAGCAAACTGCCTTCTAAATTCTTATCTATACCCATAGATTAGTGGGTAATACAACTCTCATCAAGAAACTTCTTTCTGTAGCAGACAACAATAAATAGCCAGAGTGCAGAGAGTCAGAAACTGTAGAATGCTCAGCCATAAATGAGATATCAGTATCATACCTCCCTCCCCAATGGCTCAGGGAACATTGTGGAAGAAGGGGCAGAAAGCTTGTAAGAGCCAGAGATTGGAAATGACTGCTGTGAAACAGTCTTCTCCACCCAATAAGGTCATTGCACTCATGAGCTTAAAATGGCTGTGGTTGCCTGTACAAGACCTATACAACCACCTCTAGCTAGCTGAAGATTGCTGGAGTAAGGAGAGTCAATTCTCTTCAGGGAAGTGGCCCCTGTTAGGTCGTTCATGCTTCAGTGGATGGCCCTACACCGGTACATATAAGGACAACACTGCCTGGACTCACTGGGCTATGAAAGAGGACATGAAATTGGGGAGGGGATGTGGCAAGGAGGATCTGGGAGGAATTAGAGAGGAAACTGGGAGGTTGATATGATCAAAATACATTGTATACATGTATGAAATTCTCAATGATTTTGTAAAGTGACCAGAAAGAAGATAAACAAAATGTAATATTATAGGAATCAAAAAAGGAAATCACCTCATCCTCCAAAAGGGGAATGGTAAACAATATTGAATACTACTCAGAGGTCCTATATTATGTAGAATTTTTTAAAAATCCAGTATGTAAAAATCTCTTGAGATTGAGGCTGGAGAGATGGCTCAGGGGTTAAGAGCACTGGCTGCTCTTGTAGAGGACTTGGGTTTGAATCCCAGCACTTACATGGCAGCTAACAACTGCCTATAACTCCAGTTCCATAGTATTCAGTGCCCTCTTCTGTCCTCCATGGGCACTGTACAACATGGGTACACCTACCCTATCTACATGCAGTACACACAAAAATAATAATTTTTAATTTTTTTACACCTACACTCATACACATAAAAATAACAATTTTTTAAAAATTTCTACAGTTGCCACTTCCCTAGTAACTAAAAAGCTGGACAAACTGAAAATCATCAACTCTTGTCAGAAAAGTGAGATCATAGGGATCCTTGCTGCACCAAAGAGACAGAGGATACGAAGAACAACAGCTTACCAGAGTGAAAACTTACAAACAGAAATCTCCATGAGAACCACCACAGTTAGGAGAACCTAAACTAAAACTGTACTTACAAATTTCTGAAGGATCAGTGAGGACAACTCTGAGATTAAAAACTTCCCAGAGAGCCAGTTAAGTCCCCCCCAACACTTTTGTACACTTTTCATATCTTCACAGGGACTAGTGCAGTGAAATCCCTTTACGCTCTGGCAGGGGGAGAGGAAAAGGAATCATTCTGAAATAGGTCAGTGCCCTCTACTCAGTGAGGCTGCTCTCAGGGGAAAGTATTTTCCCAAAGCCAAATCCCATGGAACTGAAACTGGAATTACTGATGGTTATTAGCTGCCATATGAGTCTAGGATTCAAACCTGGATCTTCTGCCAGAACAGCCAGTGTTCTTAAACACTGAGCTATCTCTCCAGCCCCTTGTTTTTGTTTTTTTGTTGTTGTTGTTGTTGTTGTTGTTTGTTTTGGTTTGGATTTTTTGGGGGGATCTTTTTGAGACAGAGTGTCCCTGTAGCCACAGCTGGCCTAAATTCACTGTATAGACCAAGCTGGCCTTGAACTCACAGAGGTTCACCTGCCTCTGCCTCCTGAGTCCTGGGATTAAAGTCGTGCCACCATTCCCAGCAGTCCCTTGTTTTTGTTTCTAACAAAACTGAGCATTCTTACCTATGATCCAGTGGTCAGTCTTAGTCTTTACCCAAATGAATTGAAAATTTCAGTTCACACAAAGCCTGCACGTGGATGTATATAGTAACTTTATTCACAATTTCTAAAACTTGCACGTGACCAAAACATCTTATAATAGATGACTATATAAATAAACTATGGAATACCCAGACAGTGTAGTATTATTCATCATGAAAAAGCAACAAGGGGCCAATGAGATGACTCTGCAGGTAAAGGCATGTGTCACACAAGCATCAGTTCAATCTGTGGAACCTATGGTGGAAGGAGAGAACCAGATCCCTCAAACTGTCCTTTGACCTCCACATGCATGCCATGGTACACATTTGCCTGTACACACACACACACACACTAATAATATTTTAAAAGGAATGAGAGACTGGGTGTGGTGGTGCATGCCTTTAATCCCAGCACTTGGGAGGCAGAGGCAGGGGAGTCTCTGTGAGTTCTAGGACAGCCTGGCCTACATCGTGAGTTCCAGGCCAGCAGGGGCTACAGGAAGACCCTGTCTAAAAAGTCCAAAATAAATAAATAGATAAATAAATAGCAATGATGTTGTCAAGCCATGTGAAAGAAGACTATCTGAAAAGCTTGTATATGATTCCAACTCCATGATATTCTGGAAAAGGCAAAACTATGGAGATAGTAAGAAAGATTAATGGTTTCCAGGAGTTGGGAGAAGGGAGGGATGAAGAGATGGAGTATAGAGGATATTTAGGGCAAACGAGCTATTCTTTATACTACATGGTAGACACATGTTATTATACATTTGTCAAAACCTATAGGCTAGCCGGGCGTGGTGGTGCACGCCTTTAATGCCAGCACTTGAGAGGCAGAGGCAGGCCGATCTCTGTGAGTTTGAGGCCAGCCTGGTCTACACAGAGTTCTAGGCCAGCTGCAGACTTTCCCAAAAAGACAAACAGCTGGGCGTGGTGGCACAAGCCTGTAGTCCCAGCACTTGGGAGGCAGAGGCAGGCAGTTCTCTGAGTTCAAGGCCAGCCAGGTCTACATAGTGAGTTCCAGGACAGCTGGGGCTTCAAAAAGACAAACAAACACAAAAAACCCCTATAGGCTATTCAACACTGAGTGAATCCTAAGGTTATCTATGGGTTGTATTTTTATACCCAAGGGAAATAAAAAATATATGTCCTCAAAAAAACGTGTAGGAAACTATTCACGGCAACATTATAATAGCCAAAGAGTAGAAGCGACCCAAATGCCCATCTAGTAAGTAGATAATAAAATGTGGCATATCTTTATTATAACGTATTATCCACCAGTAAAAGCAAAGTACTGATGCATGCTAAAACATAGATGTACTTTGAGAATATTGTGTTGCATAAAAGAAGCAAATTACAGAAGACCACATAGTATATGATTCTACTTATATGAAATATTCAGGATAGAGAAATATATAAAGGCTGAATTAGGCTAAATATTGCTTAGGACTAGTGATAGTGGAATGGTAACTGACTACTAATACTATGAGGCCTTAGATCACAAAAGTGCTCTAAAATTAGGTTGTGGTAATGGTTGCACAGCCCTAAAGATATCCTAAAAATACTGAATTTTATTCTTAAAGTGAATGATATGGAATGTTGAATTGTACCTCAAAAATGTTATTTATTTTATGTGTATGAGTGTATTGCTTGCATGCATGTAAGTGCATCTGTGTTGTGCAATACCTGTGGAGGTCAGAAGAGGGCATCAGATGCCCTGGAACTGGAGTTAGAATAATTGTTAGCTTCCATATGGGTGCTGGGAACCAGACATGGGTCCTCTGCAGGAGTACCCAGTGCTCTTAATCTCTGAGTCATCTCTCCAGCCCCTCAATAAAAGTATTGTAAGAGATCTGTCTATGTCCCCTATCCTTAGAACACAGTGGGATTTTTTTTCCCCAGAAATCATTTGTATTTAAGTTTAAATCTTTTTTCAGCTTGAAGGAATAATAGGACACTTGAAGTACTAAGAATATTTTATGGCACTATGAATTATATTTATTTCATATTGTGAATTTTTTTCAGCCTGAAAAAGAGTCTGACTATAGAGATCCAAGTATTCAAACAAAGCTAAATGTTGGTCATCTGAAAACCAACGTTCCATTGTCCCACTGTAAGTTGGCTCTTGAAAATAGTACAAGTAGATCGGTTAGTGAACCTGTGCTGCCTCAGTGCTTGGAACCTGTTCTGGTAAGTCCTAGTCTTTTATCAACCCATAATTCTTAGGAAGACTATAACAAGAAAATGTATTGACGAGGAATATTTAGAAATGCACAGTTTCTTAACAAGTGTCGGGGGAAACATAGTGAATGAAACTACATGCAAGCTGATGCTTTCTGAGATGAACTGAGTGTTAACATTTGTCACTGGGACCCCTAGGAAGCAGATAGTGAGACAGAATTTACAGTCCAAGTGGCTTAATGGACCAGGTGATACCTGAGAAAGGAAATAAGAGAGGAAGCAGGATTGGACAGTGATAGCCAAAGTCCAGTGAGGAGTTCTGAAGCAAGGAGAGCCAAAGTCTACACAGTACTGTTGTGTCCTGGATTGTCTGCAACTGTCTGAGAAGATTGTGGCCTCAGCTTGATAGCTGAAGCAGAGCCTGAAGGTGTTACACACACCCCGGCACAGAGCAGCAGTAGGTCTGTGTTCAAGGAAATCTGAAGAGAGCCCTTGCAGCTGCCCAAGGACAACAGCTCTTATTGAGCACCTTCCACTCTCCCCATCCCACAGGGCCTCATGGGGCCTCCTTACTTGTAGTGTACATGATCCTTGCTCACCAGTCCTAAAGGTAGACTTACTACTCTTCATTGTTCAGATAAGAAATTAAAAGATTGGGGCTGGAGAGATGGCTCAGCATTTAAGAGCACTGGCTGCTCTTGCAGAGGACCCAGTTTCAATTCTCAGCACCAATACAGGTCTTCCTTCAACAACAGGGAGGCTGTAATTTAATCAACGTAGAAACATCCTGCGACACAAAAAACAACAGGAAGTATTCAATTCAGAGAGAGGAGAGGGGGCCGCTGGGTGGGCTCTGCTCTGTCTCGCCAGGTTCTCACCTGCATTCTCTCTCTTTGACCTCTGCTGTTGTCCTTGTTTTATAAAGTGCTTCTTGCCCCCTCTTGATCAGAATGTTCTTCTGAATCCTTCCTGGGAGAAATGGAGCCACCCTTCTGAGGAGTAAGGCATCCCTACATTCCTACCACAGCTAACTAGTACCAAGGTCAGTGTCTCTCCCAGCTCAGAAGAGGAAGATGCCAAGGTTAGGGACCCTGGTTTTGGGGAAAGTAAAATCATGTATTATGATTCCACAGAAGAATCGTGAACATACTTGGGGTTTATGGGAACTTTTTTGTTATGTTTGAACAGAAATGGAGGCTGGAGAGTCAGGGTTCCTTAAATGTTAGTTTTGAGTAAGCAAAGGTCAAGAGCATGGAATAGGCTGGCAACTGACAAGGTGGCATCACAGTGGCTGCAATGTGGCCAAGCAAGCAGCATTTAAGTTTGGCCATACCCTACTACTCCCTGGGGCTTTTTCCTGGTGACCTCTACCATCTCAACCAAGTACCACTGCACAGTGGGGTGAGGTTCTCAGAGGAAGCAATGGCAGAGGCTGAGACTGTCAATCAGGGTTCTTTGCAGGGACTTCAGGGACTTGGAGGGGGGGTGGCCCAGAGCAGTTCCCTTCACATGGATTTACCCTGGTCCAGGCCTGGCATTCCAGTGTCAGTTCAGGCTGCCACACAGGCTCCAGACTCTGTTGCTCTCTGCCTTGAAGGGCCTCTGTGGGTGTGCTCTGACAGCGTCCTGTTTCTGAGCATCACACTACCCATCTGGCCAAGCCCATGCCTAATCACAGTTTTTTTTTTTTTTTTTTTTTTTTTTTTTTTTTTTTTCTTCTGTTCTGGTAGCTTATCACTAGGCTAGTAAAGACAATTTTTTTGCTCATTTGTCAATAAGATTCCTTAGCAGATTTGCTCTTTGTTTTTGAGTGCAGTAAGACGGTGTTTATTCTATCTGATAGAGACTGCAATGTAAAATCTTTTTTTTTTTTTGGTCTTTTTGAGACAGGGTCTCCCTGTAGCCCCAGCTGTCCTGGAACTCACTATGTAGACCAGGAGGCTGGCCTTGAACTCACAGAGATCCGCCTGCCTCTACCTCCCGAGTGCTGGGATTAAAGGTGTGTGCCACCATACCTGGCTTATAAATAAAATGTTTTTTAAAAAGAAATTAAGATTATATGCTAATAAGTTACAGTTGACATAGTTGGTAGTACTCAAATATACCCTTAAATTGTTTGATAAAAATGGTCTTAATCTATTCCAGATTAGTTTATCCTGACTAGTTTATGTTGATCTTAATACAGAAGGAAAAAAGGGAAGAAAAGGCAGGATAAAACTTAAACTTTACAATCTTTCCTATGACTTTCAAGTTTTATCTCTGAGTTTGGGTTCCAGACCCAAACTTGGCATCGCATAAAAGATAACTATTCAAAATGAGAGAGATTTCTCAGAAAGGAATGCTGGTTTTACGGAATCCAGGATTTGGAAAGGCAGCTGATTGCTAGAAATAAATAACGCTACTTCCCTCTGTCTCTTTGCCTATCACTCAGCTTTGCATTTACCTGTTTTTACTTTGGTTTTGCTGATTCATCTATTTTCTCAGTGTCAAGCTCAGTGTCTTTCTGATTCCTGGCCTACCCCGGCCCTATCCTGCTTCTGTCTCATGTCTCTGTCTCTTAATCTCATTCTGACCAGTTTCTGTTGTCCCTCTTGTCAATCATCCTCCCTTTCTCTCTTGTCTCTTCACCTTTCCTCTCTTCCTGCATCTCTGCCTCTCCCACTGTTCCCTTCCTCTCCTTTCTACTCTGTCTCTGCAAGTCCTTTCCATTAAAAAGTGCAGTAATGTTCCAGGAGCTAAACAAATACTGAAAGTAAAATGCATTTTTGGAAAATTAACAAAGGTAACCAAAGAAATGCTTCCTACTTAACACTCTAGCTTCTTTTCCTAAATCAACAATAATTTCAACCAAAGTAGTCCTGTGAAGCTATTATGCCACATAACGTTCTATTCAGATTTGTTTGACCTGGCTCAATCCAGAAAATTCTTCAGTTTCCTGTCATGTAGTTTAAAATTTAATTAACACAGTAAAGACTGTATTAGTACATATTATGAACTAATCTACTAACTTTAAATTGTGGTTTTACTATTTCAATAGTATTTTATATCTGCTAATCAAGCCTATATTTTGTAAACATTTAGAAAGAAAGTTCTAGTATTTCTGATAAGCAAAGCAAAGCCCCGTTAACAAGTACGCCATCTTCAGAGACAGTTGATTTTGTGGTAAGTGTTGGTCTTTGGCCATTATGGTCTCTATTTTCTGACCCCTCTCTCCCTGTTACTCTGTTTATACCATGCCAGGGGAATTTGCCTATGGAGAATAATACCTGTTGCATAAACACATTTTCTTTGGAAATATTCTACATGTAAAACAGATTAGAATACTGTAGCACCAGCCAGGATTCTTTTTATTATAAACTATATAGAGCATAAAATTTAGAATTGTGGCCATGTTTAACTGCATAGTGAATGTTTCTGTATAGCCATTGCCACCTCCAGTTCTAGAATGCTTTTTGCATCTTATGAAACTGAAACTCCATACCTATTAAACAGTAACTTCATGTTGAACCCTCTCCCAACCCCTGCAACCACTTTTCTACTTTCTGTCTCTGTAAATTTGACTGCGCTAGGACCCTCATATAGGTGAAGTCACACTCTTTTTTTTTTTGAGGTAAGGACTGGCTGTGTTGCCCAGAGTGCTCTTGAACTCCTGGGATCAACTGACCCCCTGCCTCAGCCTCCCAGGTAGCTGAGGCTATAGGTATATTCCACCATGCCCAGGAGTATTTCTCCTTTTATGACTGATATAATTCACTGAACATTATGCATTCAGACATATATATATATATATATATGTGTGTGTGTGTGTGTGTGTGTGTGTGTGTGTGTGTGTCAGAATTGCTTCCATTTTAAAGCTGAATAATATTCTATTTCATCATTGTGAATAGCAACTATGAGTGTGTATGTGTGTGTCAGAATTGCTTCCATTTTAAAGCTGAATAATATTCTATTTCATCATTGTGAATAATGCAACTATGAACATGATGTGTATAAATTAAGTTCCCTGTTTTCGGTTCCTTTGAGTATATAACCAGAAATACAATTTCTAGATCACATGATGATTCTATTTTTTTACTCTTTGAAGAAGTGTCTTCCATAGTGGCCACATCATCTCACAGTCTCATGAGCAGCGGTTCTAATTTTTGTGCATCCCTGCCAGTGCTGTTAGTTTCTGTTCTGTGGTTTTAACTAGTAGCCACCCTCATGGGGTATGAGGTAGAATCTTAATTTGGTTTTAATTTGCATTCACTAATGATTAGTAATATTGAGCATCTTTTCATATGCTTACTGGCCATTTGTATATCTTCTTGCAGAACTGTCTGTTCAAGTTCTTTGCTAATTTTTTAGTTGGGTTATTTTTGTTTATTTGTAGGAATTTTTGTATATCTGAATAGTAATTCATTATCAGATACATGGTTTGCAAATACTTTCTCCTATTTTGAGGGGTTGCCTTTTTGCTCTGCTGATACTTTTCTTCGATGAAGGAATGTTTATCATTTTGATAGTGTCCAATTAATGTACTTTGTTTATGATGCTTCTGTTTTTAATGTTAAGAAATCATTGCTAAATGCAATATCATGAACTCTTCATTTTATGCTTACTTCTAAGAGTTATATAATTGTGACTTTTTTTAGATTTTATTTTTATTTTATGTGTATGAGTATTTTGCCTGCATGTTTGTGAGTACACCATGTGTACTGGTGCCTATGGAGGCCCTGGAACTGAAGCTGGAAACTGAACCTGGGTCCTCTGCAAGAGCAGCCAGTGCTTTTAACTGCTGAGTCATCTCCAGCCCCATAATTATAGCTCCTTTGCAACCAATTCTTAGGAGTACAAGTTGCTAGCATGGTGGCAGCAGGCACTCCTCCTCAGTGGCAGCAGTCATAACAGAAGTCTACACGGGAGCTTGTGCAGCAGTGTGGGGCAGTTCACTACAAGAGGATGAGATATGTGTTGTAATGATGCACATATGCAGTGCCTCTTGTCTCCACAGAGATGTGCCTAATGACAGGAGTCCCTGCTCCCAGAGAAGCCTAAAGAATAGTCTCTTATAGCACTTCTTTATTCATGCTCCATTTATAGCTCAACCCACAGACACAATTTTCCCATTAGACATCATTTTTTTACCATAAGCAATGTTGCCTGTAACAGAGTGGATGTTCTTATTAACAGGCTCCTAGTGGAATATAGATTTAACCAGAGCTCACATGTACATGCTAGAGGAAAGGGTCTAAGATAACACTCTGATCACAGTGTTCCCAGTGTTCTAAAAATTAGTACATTCTCCAGAAAATAAACTTGATATTTATTCATTTTTGGTTAACATTTGGTGCTAAAATGTATAGATTGGGGAAAATGTACCAATGTATCAAAATGCATTTTCCCTACAAAACTTGGAGTGATAATTTAAAAAATGCCTGTATCTTTGCAAATTGAACTATAATTCATACTTTTTTTTTTTTGGTCTTTTTGAGACGGGGTGTCTCTAAAGCCGTGGCTGGCCTGGAACTCACTATGCAACCAAGCTGGCCTTGAACACATAGAGATCCACCAGCTTCTGCCTCCCAAGTGCTAGGACTAAAGACATTTGCCACCTTACCCAGCCTTATAATTCACATTTTGTAAAGATTCACCATAACACAGTGAATAAAATTCAGCCATCACCACAATTTAATTCAAGAAAACATTTTCATTTCCATTAGTGGTCATTCCCTAACCCTTACCCCACCCTCCTGCACTAGAGATTGTTAAAGTATTTTAAGTCTATGGGTTTGCCCTTTCTAGACTGTTCATGTGAGTGGAATCCTGTAACATGTTGCCTTTCAAGCCTGTTTTCTTCCACTTGATAGTTTTTTCAGAGTTCATTAAGTCATAGCAAATAGGAGAATTTCATTTTCTTTGATCGAATAATACTCCATTGTATACATCTACCACATTTTGTTTACCAGTTCAGTTTATGGCATTGAGATATTTCTACTTTGTATCTAGCATCCCTGCTATGAGCATTCATTGATACGTTTTTGTGTCAACATGTATTTTCCATAATCTTGAATCTTCACCTAGAAGGTGAAGTAGGATTGTCAGCCGTATGCTAACTGAATCTTTGGCTTGTTATTGTTGTTTGAGAAAGGCTTTCTTTGCAGTCTAGACTGTCCTGGAACTCAATATGTAGACCAGGCTAGCTTTGAACTCATGACAGTCCACCCATCATGCAGCATCTTGAGTGCTGGGATTACAGGCCTGAGTCACTGTGCCCACTTTTTTAGTGGGCTTTTCTTTAAATGGGCATTCTCATCAGGCTTATTGGCTATATATATATTTGGAGAAATGCCTAGTAATATCTCTTGCCTGGGGTTTTATTGTTTTGTTTTGTTTTGTTTTGTTTTGTCTTTTTTAGACAGTATCTCTCTGTAGCCCCAGCTGGACTGGAACTCACTTGTGTAGACCAGCCTGGCCTCAAACTCACGGAGATCTACATTCCTCTGCCTCCTAAATGCTGGGATTAAAGGTGTGCACCACCACACTGACTACTTGCCTGTTTTTAAGTTATGTACTTTGTCTTTTAATGGTTGAGTTACACAAGTTATTTTTATATTCTGAATACTAGAGCCTTATTAGAAAGATAATTTGCAAATATTTTCTCCCATTCTGTGGTAAATCCTAGTATCTTTTAACAAATAAAAATGCTTTGAGAGCACTTGGCAACTTGATATTTTAAGATTAAAATTATTATTCTTTGATTTGTTCTACAGCTGGTTACCACCAAAAGTAGAGAGGGCTGCTTGATCAAGGACCTCTGGGAAACTTTATTTCTTAGGCTCTCACTTTAATATGATGTTCCTAGCACTATTCTAAGACACATATGAATAGGCTTTAATTTTTTTCTTTCTTCCTAAGAGAAGCAAGAGTAAGGCAAGAATAGATAGCCTCTTAATGCCCATCTAATGCACCTCACACTCCATTTCAGGGCTAACCTACATTCAGACTAGATTAGCATCGCCAAATCTACCTGCCAAAGCTTCTTGGAGTTCCCACCTAAAGAGCATAGTCATGAGTCTGATTTTAGATATCTCTTATGTTGATACAGAAGTATGTGATAATTTCTGTACCCTGATAGCAATATAAATATAGCAGTTGGGAGAGAATTCTATTCCTAGAGATAGACATTTAAAATGTTGTAGTGTTCACACGGTAAGCAAGAAGGAGATATGGACAAAGGCTTGGGTTCGTACTTAAGGAAGAACAAGAAAGTTAATTCAGGAGTGCCAAATAGTTAAGCTTTACTTTGTAAGTACTTGGTAGATATTTATTATATGAAAGAATGGAAAAAAGTTTATGCTATAGTAAACAAAATTTCTGTTTGAAAAATAACTTTAAGCAAGAGAATTATAATCTTTATAAATTGATTTATACACAGATAAATAAGTATGCTTTGTAGAATTATTTCCAAATGACAATAATCATATTTACTCAAATGAAGTTGTTTGTACATAAAAATGAACAAGAAAATGCTTCCAATGAGATAGTATTTTCAACTTTAGTTCAATTACTTTAAACTAATTGTTTTTGAAGCCTCTAAAAAAATAGTGATCTCCTTGTATAGATTGATTTGTCTCCAGTGCAAGATGTATCTTTTGAGGAACTATTTCCAAAAGTCAGCAATTATGTTAACTCAAATGAAATTGTTTCTGTGTCAAGTTCACAAGAAAATTCTTCAAATGAGGTAATATTTTCAAAATTTTGTTCAATTACCCAAACAATTACTATAATGTTACTAGACACAAACATCTTTTACATGTGTAAAGAATTTATTATTAGATATATGACTTGAAAGTGCTTTCTCCAGTTCCATGAGTTGCTTTTTTCTCTGTAAATAAGGCCTTCTGAAGCACAAAATTTGATATCCAGGCTGGCCTCGAACTCACCATGATCCTATTTCCTCAGCCTACGAACTTCTGGGATTATAAGTGTGTACTACCGTACCCATTGAGGTCAAGAACATTTTACTCCCAGAACATAGTGGATGTTTTGTTACTGGTTTTTTTTTTTTTACAAGTTTCTTATTTAATTTTGGTCTTTTTAAATTTAATCTTTATTTTTTTATTTTTAATAACTACATGATTAGAAGAAGCATTTCATTACAGCTTTAACATATTCAGTAACACACTCCAGAGCAAGAGTACATCTCTTTCACAAGTGGGTGCAAGTTTCTAGGTTCACAGTTGAATTAATACAGTTATACAGTATTGAACTCAGTATAAGCCCTGTAAGACATTAAATTGAATGAGTTTTTAACCTTTAAAAAAGATCTCCATTTCATTTTAGAATATGTTGTTCCTTACAGAAAGGCTCATTGTTTTTGCTACTAATACTGAGATGCTGGCGCATGCATCTCTAATCTGTATGTGTCTGATTATTACTAGTCATAATAAGTTGCACTTGGATCCTTGGTGCCTGTGTGTGTCTTTGAAGTCATCAAGTAGATTTCAATGGTAATGTTTATCACCTCTACTAATTAGCATGACATAAATTTCCATGCTTCCTCCTCAAATATAATACATTTTTAAAAATTTTATGTTGTGTGTGTGTGTGTATATATATATATCACACAGAACATCCCAAACCATCCTATTCAACTATACACCCACTTCCCAGATGGCACCCTCCCATAGCCTCCCTCCCCCCACTAGAGCCCTTATACTCTGATATCCCTGTTACTATCTGCTATATTGTTAGCACCCCCAGCCATTCCCCACTACTTGCCCTTCTGGTGAATCTAGTCAGCCTATCTAGCAGTCTTTGTTTTAGGACGGTGAGCTGTTCCTCATCTAGCACCCACCAGTTGTCAATATTCCTTTAGATAAGATTGGGGTCTGCTGTTCATTTTCCCAGTTCTATGCTGGGTTACTATCTGGGAGTCCTTTTGTCCACTCTGGCATTGTTGCTTGTTATGTAGCCTTTAGCTATACATATGGACTCTTATGAAATTATATTGGCCCCTTTAATCTTTGGTTATACTTTCCTTTTGGGTGTTT